CTTAACCCTTTGCGGTCCGAAGTGCTCTTGGTTTCTCACTTTGAGGTTCACGTCGACGTTAGTTCATTCAATTACAGCTTAACATGACGCTCTACTTATTTATTCAAGAATATTTAGGAGTCATTGAAACGTTACCTTTAAATGGTAAAATTGTGATGCTACAGATAAATATAGAAAAAATTGTTAAAACAGGTAGAGGTTGCAATAAAATAGAATGTCGAGTCTGACTCGACATAGGACTGCTAAGGGTTAAGAGTACAAAGCGTTAACAGAAACAAAGAATTTCTATGACTCAACGAACAACGGAAGCCAAATAAAATTGTCCTAACAAACTGTAGCTAGATTCACAGATACAATACGCTGAACCAATTGCTTCACTTCAAAGCTAATTTTACACCTGGAATCATGTACTTTCTATTCGCTCCTTGATTTCTCCGTTGCATTTCGTTTCCCTTTGGAGGAAGAAAAGAAACGAGATATCGCTGGTCGGAGCGTAATGGGCCGCGGCGTGGATAAACACGATACGAGCGGCAACAAACCGATCCCGCGGGACGAACAATTTTCACTTAACGCCCCTAATGCCGCGCGAGTTGTTTGCGTTGCCGCTTCGATCGAGAAATCTCGAAGGATTCCGCTGGTCGTGCCGGATACCAAGGACCGGAAAGCCCTTCCGAGTTCCCTCTTGATTCGTCGCGGACCCTCGAGGGCCACGATCCCGACTCCCGCGGCGGGAATCGGTTTTCTAGGGTCGTTACTAGTTCCAGGAACTTGCCGACGGGATTTTTTCTCTTTTCTCCAGCGGCTTTTTATGGGATCCGCGAGTTGATGATTGCGCGAGGCGTTAGGTGTTTTTGATGTTGGAGTGCCTTCGGGGGATGAAGTTCAGGAAACATTCGAGAAAATAGATGAAACTGCGAGAGTTTCTTTGCAGTGTTCGTCGAAGCAATTTAATAAATGTAATATAGATGGAATTAAATTGTGTTATTTGTTTCATTAGTGTTGACACGTTGACTGCCATGAGAATTTCTAGCGTTTTGAACAGTAATGTTCTTTAACAACAAAGGAAAATGATATTTAAAATAAGTATTAATGATGTAGTATTGTATAAACTGCGAGAGTTTCTTTGCAGTGTTCGTCGAAGCAATTTAATAAATGCAATACAAATAGAATTAAATTATGTTGTTTCATTAGTGCTGACACGTTGACTACCACGAGAATTTCTAGCGTTTTGAATAGTAACGTTCTTTAGTAACAAAGGCAAATGATATTGAAAATAATTATTAGTGATATAGTATTGTATAAACTGTGAGAGTTTCTTTACAATTTTCGTCGAAGTAATTTAATAAATGTAATATAGATGGAATTAAATTATGTTGTTTCATTAGTTAGTGTTGACACGTTGACTGCCACGAGAATTTCTAGCGTTTTGAATAATAATGTTCTTTAACAACAAAGGCCAATGATATTTAAAATAAGTATTAATGATGTAGTATTGCAGTAGTTATATTACGTTATGATCTAGCTACTTATGTTACTAATTATTTTCATTTAAAATCAAGTCATCGGTGACCACCGTGGAAACGCGTTAATAATGGACGATAATTTCCATCTTAACTTCGATCTACTTGAAAAGATTCCTTGTATACAAGTTTCATTTCTAGCAGAATGTCTTTGTAAATTTATAAGTTTACTAATTTGTATTATCCCTTTGAACTCTGTAAGCTCCAATATTGCACCAGCCATAGTACTAAATATTTCAATGAATCTTCAAGAAACTTTCCTCAGATTATTGGATTTTACTTCCAAATTTTCTGTTGAGAAGGAAAATAGATCTAAGAACTGTTACATTGTTAACCCTTTGCACTCGAGAGGTGACTCTCAGTCACCAATTGATTTGATGCAGCAAAACTACGAAGTTGAATACTTAGTATTTTAAATTAAACTTTGTATTATTATAGGGAATATTTAAATAAAATAGCTTCGTCGCTTAATTTATCTGTGAATTATCATTAAATTAGTTTCAAACAATGTCGTCTATATCTCGTCGAAAAATGTTTCCAGTGAAAAACTTTCGAGTGCAAAGGGTTAATTTTCGAAAGGGATACTGTAAAAATTGATTGGAGTTGCTGATAGACAAAACCATTTGGAGCGCTAAGGGTTCTTAAGCTAAGACGAATCCTTAATTAAATCTACAGAATCCTCGTGTTAATTCCTTATCGAAACCCGTCGGCGAAGAATCGCCGTAATCCGCGACGGTACCTAATCATCGAGAGAAAAGACCACGCCGCAGCATAGACAAAGAAAGTAGTTTTCTGCTCGAGATACGCGGCGCCGACCAATTACGTTAAAAGATCCGTAACACGTCGACGGAGCCACAAGTTCCCCGACGTTCGTGTGTGAAAAGGCGAACGAGAAGGAACCCGGGAGCAGCCGTTGGGGCAAGGAGGAACGGAGGGAAGCGGAGAAAATAACGAAAAAAAAGAGAGAGAAGAAAAAAGGGTCGATGGAAGAAGAAAAGCAGAGGAAGGGGGTTTCCGTGTGCGGGAATGACAACTATAGCCAGCTGTCGTCATTATGAATTATCTATGTAGGAGTGACGCCTGCGCTTTTAACTCGTCCGTAGGTAAAAGCGAATTTTCACTGACGAATCGACAGACGCGTCGTCCTACTGTTGCGGATCGAACGGCCACCCTGAGCATCCCTTAACGCTAGAACCGCACGAGTCTCCAATGCGACTGATGCGCACTTAAAAAAATGAATAGAATAGATTCTTCCGAGTTCCTGTTGACTAACACTGACGTAAGTTATTTAACAATAGAACTAGTAATCAAATTGATATTTTCTAATTTTTGTATGGGACCACTGAGAACGCGGCTAGAACCGCACGAGTCTCCAATACGATTGATGCGCACTTACAAAAATTAATAGAATAGATTGTTCCGAATTCCTGCTGACATAACACTGACGTAAGTTGTGTAACAATAGAACTAGTAATCAAATTAATATTTTCTAATTTTTGTATGGGAATGCTGAGAACGCGGCTATTGACGTTTCAATTGACTTGAGATTCAATTTGCGTATTAAGAAATCAATTTCTTTAGTAATTTCAGAGAGAAGCATCTGTTACCTATTTAACAACTGGGTTAGTTTGACCCATTTGGTAGTTGTACTGTTAATATGAATTTCTAATTTCTTTACGTCCCTTGACGTAATTTCTTTAATTTCTAGTTCTCCGAGTATGAATGTCTAACACGATTTCCGATATTTGACGTATTTATAATATTGATAGAAAATAAGAAAATTAGACCAGGTTTCTGAAGCGATGTTCTAGTATCAGTCGATACTCTTTTAACCCTTTGCACTCGAGAGGTATCTGAATCGCCATTTGATTGAACGCAACAAAATGATCAAACGAAAAATTGAATATAAAACGTTGAACGATGTATTAACACATGGAACAGAAATAAAACAACTCTGCCTATAATTTATGCAAGATATTTCTCTAAGCTGAAAATAATATTGTTAATATTTCGTCAGAAAATAATGAATGCAATAAAAAGTATTGTCGAGTGCAAAGGGTTAATCTAAACGTCGAATAAGGTATTAACACATGGAACGGAAATAAAACAACTCAGTCCCATAATTTACGCAAGACATTTCTATAAGTTAAAAATAATATTGTTAATATTTCTTCAGAAAATAATGAATGTAGTAAAAAGTATTGTCGAGTACAAAGGGTTAATCTAAACGTCGAATAAGATATTAACACATGGAACAGAAATAAAACAACTCTGTCCCATAATTTATGCGAAACATTTCTGTACGTTAAAAATAATATGTTCACATTTCTTCAGAAAATAATGAATGCAATAAAAGATGTCAAGTGCAAAGAGTTAATCTTCTCATTTCTACCGTGAGCGTTCGAATTACGTCTAGATCGCGTCAACCGACAGTCAGCCCAATAAAATATCCCAGAAATTCGCCCGTGTCGCGGCAGCTATTTTCCAATCGTATCTACACCGACGATACCGTTCCGTGAAGAAGAACACGACAGCCGGTGAAACGCGCACAGCCCGATAATTCTCGCGGCTAACGACCGGGCGCAGTTTACGGGGCCCGCGGCGAGCGATCATTCGGTCCGGCGTGCGGGGGTGTGGGTCGGCTGCGAGGCGTCGATTCGACGTTTAACTCTTCGCGATCGACGAAGTAATTTCACCCTTGTCACGCGGCCTCGAAATTCCCGATAAACGTCCCGCCTTTGTCGACGGCTTCCGGCTCGTTTTATGCCCGCCACGATTCGTCAGCGTGGCTGCGTGCAACCCGGCGACCCCTTCTCGCCTGCCCACCCCCCCGAGCAACGTTCGATTTTCCATTGATCGGGATATAATTAAACTTCGAAAAGCCCGCTCGAGTCTTCAATCTTTGGTCCCATCGTTTCCTGATTCTTCGATTTTCGATTTGATTAATTCGCTCGTTCGGCAATCAGTCCTCGACTCGATCATTTTTCCAATCGTCAATCGTTCAATTGATTGTTCTTCGAATAGATAATCGATAATCAGTTATCATCTTTAATTTTCCATCAGATTCTCTACTCGATCGTTCTACAAGTATTCAAATTTTCGATTGTCATTCTCTAAACCTTCGAGTCTTCGATCGAATCATTCTCCAGATCTTCGATTCCTTCTCCGAGCCATCGCTCTAAATCCGAATCACCAGTAAAATAACCTGTACCTACGCGAATAACCTGCGCTCGGATGCATACTCGTTCAGCCCGAGGCCGGGGGCTGCAAAACCGTGCATGCGATTTCCATAACTGGAAACAAGGGTTGCAAGAGCGAGCGGAACTGCGGCAACGCGATAAAAATCGTCTGCGTGTCCCGGATCGACTGCACGAGGCGGCGTCTACGTCGCCGGCGACGGCGGCGGGTGCATCGATTCGGAAACGTTCGAAAAACTTTTCTCTCTCTCTCCCGGTAGCTCCCCTAAAACTTGCTACTCACCTAAGCAACGCTCGCTCCTACCGTCCCGTGCCGTGGCAGCGCTCTCAACTCTCCAGCGTCCTCTCGGAATGCATATCAAGCCGGCCCGGAGCTTTTCCTCGGCCGAGAATCCCGAAACCCTCGGTAAATCCCTCCAGGAAGCCTCCTTGCTCGAAACTACAGTGCGGCACACGGCTGAACACTCCGCGAGCAGGTTGCTCGCCGATACCTCCTCCGAAAGACACACTCGTTAGGCAAGACGATCAGGTAGAAGATCCAAATCGGTCACTCGATTAGCACCGATCAACAGTCTTCCTTCGATCCGTTCTCCGTGTCATCCTTTAGCTCCACCGTTCACCCGTGAGCTTAGACTCATCAATGCTTCCGGAAGATCACTGCACGACGCTCGGACGATTGCGTCGACGAGTCAAGTCGATCATTCGAAGAGGTCCAGATCGATGGTAGACCAAGTAACCAGGTAGAAACAGCAACCTTCGTTCAGCTTCCAACCGATCGGAGCCGAAGGCTTCCACTGTATACCCTAAACTATCAACACCGCAGTCTCCGTAACCCAGAATCCGTCTAGGAAGTCCCTTCCGCGGTTCGCCACGTTGCTGTCCACAGTGGAACGCAGCATCCTCGAGGCCAGGACGCGTGCTGCCGATCAAAGACACTCGGGCTAACTTCGACGAAGACACGGCCGATCGTTCCTCGAGCGTCGATCAGGACATCTGGCTGCCCAGGGGACGGGTCCCCTGTTATCGACGCGGTTTCTGCGAGCGGTGGACGAGAAACGGCGTTCGTCGAGTGCCGTGCTGACTGTCTGCCGTCCATGGAGAGCGTCGCCGGCACGGACGCACCCCGTAGACGGGGCGAGCACCGCGCAAGACCGGTCCGCGGCGCGGAACGCGCGCCTGCGCCGCCTCGCGCGGCCCGACCGCCGCATGAAGGAACGCCGCAACCTCGTTCCGACAGCATCTACTATTTCGAACACCCCCGCC